TATCTACAGAGAACCAAGACAGCATGACTAACTACTGGGAACCAAGATTATGTGATTATCTCAATGGAACGATGATGATGGGGTTATCAACACTACTTGGAACTATGGCTGGCATATCTTCTAAGAATAAAGATTGAGATATCACGAAATGGAAAAAGTAATTACGGGATTACCTGTTGAAAGCCATGTAAGCCTCCGGGAAGGTTTATCGATAAGCATGCCAGACCCTGTGAAAATTATTACCACACTTATTGATATCCATATCGACAAGACCTATAATGGTACTATTGTTTTATAAACTATGACCAATAGTAAGTCAATTTACTTCAATACGGTTCTGTCTTTAAAACTTACAAAAAAATCTATCTATACTTACTACTGTTTGTTCTTAGTCAATATATATATATTCCAAAACTCCACATGAGTTCTAACTGCGCTACATTGTATATTGAAATTTCAAACGCAATGCCAAGTTGCTGTGTTCTTTCTCAACTGCATTATAAATCGTTGTATCTTTATAGTTTACTAATTTACGTTATTTTTATAATAATCTTTCAAAATATTTTCAACATATTTATGTGAAATTATATGAGGATAACTTACGAAAACAAATGGAAACACCGACAAATCAATATAATCTTAAATTTCACTCAAAATGGATAGAACTAGGGCAATACATGAACAGAAAGATTTCCACGGACACGAATGAAAAAGTACTAGAAGACCAGATGTTTCTGAAGGGAAAGCGTCTTCTGTTTTATCGACGACACCCACCATGTCAATCTTGATCAATTCAAGTAAATGATGTCATGTTCTCAAATGAAACCAATGTTAACAATAACAAAAAACAGGCATCGACAAACTCAGTTTCGTATCCACCTGGTAAAAGACTATTTATGTGCCTCCGTCAACCTTCATCTCTTGAACCCTGTAGTGAGAACTGATTTGTTTTTTATATGGAATAAGACTTGAATATCGAACCAATTGGGGTATGTAAACACCATAGACTGAGGAAAGAGGATTATTACTGTCTGGAATTGACAAATCGAAATCACGCCTACCATACATCTTCGTGGAAAACTGTTCCGTTTGGTATTGCTGTCTACAAAAGACTGTGGTAATCAGCTGATTTAGATACAATTAGCATAGCATTGGTGATCAAATTTGACCCTAACCAGATTGAAACAAAAAAAGGGGAAATCAATTACCAGTGATAGGACCATTGGTGTTCATATCAATCATTGCTCTACGTTCAGTTACCAACAGAACCGATATTTTTGGGATATTTTTTTTCAATTCGTGTGGTTCTTGTTATATCCATTCAGTGACAACATATTAAATTCCTTCCAAATGTTATTTTGATTTATGGTGTTATCTACAGGTTCGTGTTACCCGAACCTTCTGTTGTCATTCTCGGCCAGTCAGAGCTGTTAGAACAAACTATGGATATTGCGAGTCTAGTGGTCTCTCGCCTTTTTCCGTTGCGATTTTTTTTTTCTGATTAGTAGCCGTTGCAATGCACAATATGGTATTCTTGAACGACGTTCCATCTATACAACACTCCAAAAAGCACGCTTTTCTTTTTAAATGGAGCTTTGTCCGCAAGGTATCTGACGAAAAACTGTTTGCTAAGTTAAAAATTCAATGAAGCGAAAATAGCACCGTTTTATATCGCTAATTTACATGCTTCTTGCTATATGATTTCCTTGTTGTGCTGCACTTATGGAGTTATGACAACCTTTCCTCTTTGTCATGGCAACCAAACCAGAAAAAGATAAAGTAGGTTAGATCAACTGTGATACAGATTTGCGTGGAATGAGTGGAAGTATACCTGAGATTTACGGTTTACTGTACAGCCGATCCCTACAGACAGGTGTTAATGAAAATAGGTTAATCTTATTTCCTTATTTGGACTTGTCTTCGCTCTCTTTACTTGTTCAATACTATGGCGTCCTTTAATAAGTCCAATGGTCAGTGGTGCTGACCAACCTCTGTCGTTAACATCATTACAGCTAATCTCCTAAACATGTCTTTCGTATTTGAGCACATCTTAAAGATTGCATATTAAAGGGAATAAGTGTTGTTCGGTCACGAGCGGAACTCTCCAGTCTTAATCATTCAGTCTCCTTAAGCGATAATGAGGAGAAATGTCAGCTTGGAATACCAGTTATTGGTCATGTGACCTTAATTTACTTACCGTGGTATATAAGATCATTGTAGAGATTCTTCCACCATACAGCCTGCCGAGAAAATGGAAATCATGAATAGAGTCTCACTGGGTAAAGATTCATTGAGAAACATAATCATGTGACCAATACTTTATGATCACGTGGTAAAAATATCGTTATGTGATCAATTTGTCGTTTTATCAATCGATCGAAATACTATTTACATGCGTGTCTCCGTTTCTAATTTGCCTCAGTGAGAAGTAAAGAAATATTACAACCTTTGCGATATAGTGACCGTGTTTGTAATAGCCACTCCAAGATCTTTAATGATCCTTAAATATACAAGTGCGATTGTCATGGTCCCAATACGTAATATACGTAGGTTACAGATGACATTTGCCAACATGCTCTTCACTCAATCGTTATTCGAAATAATACTAAGTATATCATTTTCACGAAGTAATGATTACGAAAGAATATTTGGGGAGAGGCAAAGTACAATTCATTATTTTATTTACGAGGAAAGACAGCCTCAATTTCTTAGTGCTGCTTGAAATATTCCTACGCCGTTGACATATCACAAGCTGGTAATACAGAACCGACTTCGGTAAGATTACACTGTATGGTAAGATAATGTCATGACTTTAGCTGTTGTTTATGCAGTGTTAGGTTTTCGTTTTCTTTTTCTAATCAGTTCAATTTCCACACACCATTCCATAGGGCACTCGCTATTAACATACAGCGTTTTTGTAATGTTTCTACATTTAAGCTGTTGTATAAAGTTTTCTAGAAATCCAAAACAAATACTAAATTATAGAAATCTCATGAGAAATAGAAAGACTGGGAAATTCAACAAATAATACAAACAGTCATTGTGTGTGTAGCTATATTCAAATGCGACTAATCAAATTCTCCCAAACAATCTATAATCATTTCAGTATTCAACTCTTAAGTATAATATATCAATTCTCATTAGTAATCTTAACTATGACAATGTCATTGAGCATTATACATACCCAATGGTCATTACTCAAGTCAGGAACGGTTCCACAGGAGATGCGTTACTGGGTAGACCGTTATTCACGAGGGGAATAATCCGCCATGGGAGATTGACTCTGAAATGATGGGTGCTTACAATTTCACAAATCATGGATATACTTTGTGATAAAACAATACAGGGTCTCTGTGAAGATCCAGGAACGTCCCTTAAATAGATAAAGAACTGTTTACTCTATACTGTATGTGTGTAACTGTTTCATCAATTATCAGGAGGAAAAACATGTATGTAAAAATATTACCTTTCGTTTATAAACCTCAGGTTTGAGATAGAAGATTGGAAAGTAACACCTGCTTATCAAAAGAAATTAAAACTGTTAATTGAATACAAATATATACACAAAAAGAACGACGCTAAGACGCAGGGACAATTAGAGCTTAAAATTGGTTTTAAAAATGTATTTCCATGTTCGATTGCTCGAAGAAATTTGTACATAGACAAGCAACACCAAATGAAAATAGATGTCTCAGTGTGTGAATACATTTACAAATGAAAAGAAACAGTATAACGATATAGCTCCGAGGAAAAAAATTGTAATTTAAGAATAATAATGTCATGTAGATATGATAATGTGCTCGGAGGAGGCCTTTAAAGAATAGGGGTCCTGGCAAATATAAACATAACATATATATGACGATGATACATATATTTACTGGTGCTAAATCACATCAGGACAAATACATTGCTTTAGATTAAAAGACAATGTATATCTCACTATGGTTAAGGGCTTAAAACGGCGTATAATAAGGAATATCTATACAATATAGATTAATGCAAATATAAAGGTGTTCTTCCCGTAAAGATCAGACAGGCTCTGGGGGAAATGAAACCGTATATTACTGTCTGCAATAATGAGGTATGCTTAGAAGGACAACCAAGTGCTGTGGAAATCTGTAATAGACAATCCATATCTCATGATTTGTTGACTTAATCAGCAACGATATACTTTTCTCGGAGTAGAAGGAGACCTGTCAAAATAAACAGTAGGTTCTCTTTAATCAATCTGCAATTTGAAGAGCTCAAATAAAGGTAATGTTTACATAACATACAGAATAACAACAATATCTAAGGCAAAACGTTTGTTTCATGTTCCTGTCTGATGAGGAAAAAATAAAGTTGGTGCTGAACGTAGGTTTTTGTCTTTTATGTTATCAATGTTTGCTTGATGTTGACACTGACTCCTCAAGCAGGATATTGATTAGAGATTTGTTTTACCTGTTTCAGATATGTATATGTGCATAATTTTCCCTTTTGCACTCGAGATGTACCTGTGACTGGCACACACACGTTCCAGGTTTGCAACTTCTGAAGGGCTACTTGGATCTCAAACGTCCATATTTCTGTACAAAGAGAGGCAACTCTCATATGACTACGACTAAATTTGGTAATATATTCTGTGTATTTGTTCAGACGAAGACAAAAATGTCGTCATTTCAGCCTGTGAATTCGTCACGAAAATCGCATGTGCGTTGTTGCACCAGAAATATCAGGGCAATGGATACACGATGATAATGAGAGCAAAAGTCAAAACAAAGATTTTTTAAATGATCACTGTGTACTGTAAAAGTGGTAAAAATAAACATTATTTTGCCTTGCTAAGAAACAGCAAGAAGTCAGAGATCATTGGTGAAGAGGCATATTTTGTGCAACGTCTTTCGAGTTGAACATGAAAAGTGTCAGCTGTACACTATAGTCTTTCCGGTCCGTATTTGTATCCGCTACTTACAAACATGAATTAAACTTCCGGTAAAAAGTTTACTGCCAACGTGAACGTTCAGTTGGAGATGCGGATTTAGCTGACCTACTTATCGGTCAAGATGTGGTTCATGTATATCATCAGTTGGATAGCCCTGCTAATGCAAATTGTCATCATAACCTTGTCAATTGGTAAGGCCATATTGGTTTTGCTTCAGCTCTAAGCTAGCCGCCGACTTTCCTACATTTTGTAACCGGTGTAAATTTTATTAGTCAGTAAATTAGTGTCAACCTGTCAACAGTGAAGTGTTAATAATTTTCTATATTGCTCTGTTAAATATTCCAATTTTATTCGGTATGATCTTAAATGCATATAGAATTCTTACCGACCAATGTTACAGTTTTATGGGACAGGTGGAAAGGCTCCTTTTCTAATATAAACTTGCTTTAGTCTGCCACTTCAGTATGTACATGTTTGGGCTTTCGACCTTCTACATAACATAGCAGACGAGAAAGAAAATGTTGAGTAGAATGGGTAAACTAGGTCTATTAAGTGAACGTAGAGAAAAGGAAAAGAGAGATGGGGTACTTTTCGGTCAAGAGATAGAGTCGATTGTTCTGATGTTCATGTAACAATAACCTACATTATTCAAACCTAATATGAACATTTTTACCTCTAAATACCAGCACCAAGCTAGCCCTACTATGGCAATATGCCCTGACATTTTGACCTACACACTCCAACACGAATTAGGGAGGGAGGTCTAGAGTAAGAGGATCCTGGATCCCAACATTAATATCTGTCTTATCTCCTATTTGCACTATTTTCCCTAACAAATATTGTTATATGAACCCATCTATTTCCTAACATATCATAGAACTAGTCTAAGCTATATACTGAGGATTACATGCTTAATACTCTTTGTTATTAGACAGAGATATCTTCCTTGTGCAAGGTAGACATTCTCACATGGAATACCATTTTAATTCCCATCTAACAGACTAAGTATTAAACACCGTGTATACATAGTATTTTTAAGACTTTGATTTTTGGGCATTAGGTTTACCTATTTCATTAATTGAATGGTGTCTTGGTAATCAAATATGAATCCTATATGAGTACAAATGATGGGTCAGTGCTGCCAAAGGCCCAATAATTAATAAGATCTGAAGATCAGGTAATGGGTTTAATATAACTTTTAACACTAAAGTGCTCTGAAGCATTCAACACGTCAAAAGTACTGTTTCTTATTCTAAATTACTAAAAAATCTCAACATCCATTGTTACATTGTTGTTTTTCAAAAATTTTTTAAAAGTTATTGTTCATAAATTTGATTTCAAGGGCTGAATAAGCATAATCCTGAATATATTTTCCTTTATTAGCTGCTGGGCTTTACTACCTTGCTGAATTGGTCGAGGAATACACAGTGCTGACAGCCAAAATCATCAAATACATGATATTTGTAAGTTATAGGTCATTTATTTTTTGTAAAAGACAAGTAAGTTTAATGTATTAGAAAAGAAAAGGTCAAAGGATTCCTGCCTTGATACAAGGATTAAAACATAAGACTCCAAACTATTTTGCAGATGTACTCTTACCTATTATAGATATCTTGCTTAAATAAAGTACACTGATATTGCAAGCTTCAGGCGGGTATTTTACATACCACAAGACCTTTACATCCAAATCCACTTGATATTTTCTTATTTGCTTTATAAAAAGAAAGAGTAATATAAGTATCCAAAACATGTCTGGTATATATGTCACTATGTAAAAACATTTATGTTGCTTGGTCAGTTAATTATGAAAACTCTCTTTATGTTGATGCAATAACTTTGACTTCTGTTTTGTAGGGAACATCAGCAGTTTATGTGGGCTTGTTAGTATTAGAAGATTTCCCACTGATGATGATAGTGGCTGGACTTCTTGGAAATGTGGCATTTTTCTTGGTGTTAAAGACTTTTCCATACTTTGTCATTAGTTCCCCACCTTTTATTGGCTCTGTAGGTAAGTCATTATATAGATTTCTTCAAGATCTTTTAAATTTTTTTCTTCATTTCAGTTGTACCTGATCCTTGAGATATTACTGTCATCATTTCAGATATAACTGAACCTTCTTATGGTCATCATTTCAGTTTTGCCTGATTGTTTGACCTTTCATCATTTCAGTTCTACCTAAACTTTCAAACTGCTATCATTTCAGGTGGGCCTAAACCTTCTGTCATTAGCTTAACTGTACCTAATAAATACACATAAACATGGATAATCATTCAGTTGTTATAAACACTGTTGAGGAAATAACAGCTTTGCGAACCATATTGCTGGAACTGGAACAGGTTTCATTATTAGTTTCTACCCCCAGACATTTTGTTCACCCTAGCTACTTCCAGGTATTTTGTTCATCCTAGCTACTTCCAGACATTTTGTTCATCCTAGCTACTTCCAGACATTTTGTTCACCCTAGCTACTTCCAGACATTTTGTTCATCCTAGCTACTTCCAGACATTTTGTTCATCCTAGCTACTTCCAGACATTTTGTTCACCCTAGCTACTTTCAGACATTTTGTTCACCCTAGCAACTTCCAGACATTTTGTTCATCAGCTACTTCCAGACATTTTGTTCATCAGCTACTTCCAGGTACTGTGTTCACCCTAGCTACTTCCAGGTATTGTGTTCACCCTAGCTACTTCCAGACATTTTGTTCACCCTAGATACTTCCAGACATTTTGTTCATCAGTTACTTCCAGACATTTTGTTCACCCTAGCTACTTCCAGGTATTTTGTTCATCCTAGCTACTTCCAGACATTTTGTTCATCCTAGCTACTTCCAGACATTTTGTTCACCCTAGCTACTTCCAGACATTTTGTTCATCCTAGCTACTTCCAGACATTTTGTTCATCCTAGCTACTTCCAGACATTTTGTTCACCCTAGCTACTTCCAGACATTTTGTTCATCCTAGCTACTTTCAGACATTTTGTTCACCCTAGCTACTTCCAGACATTTTGTTCACCCTAGATACTTCCAGACATTTTGTTCATCAGTTACTTCCAGACATTTTGTTCACCCTAGCTACTTCCAGGTATTTTGTTCATCCTAGCTACTTCCAGACATTTTGTTCATCCTAGCTACTTCCAGACATTTTGTTCACCCTAGCTACTTCCAGACATTTTGTTCATCCTAGCTACTTTCAGACATTTTGTTCACCCTAGCTACTTCCAGACATTTTGTTCATCGGCTACTTGGAGACATTTTGTTCATCAGCTACTTTCAGACATTTTGTTCACCCTAGATACTTCCAGTGATTACTTAAATAAAATTGACTTATTGCATCATTGTAATTTTGCATCTCAAACATTGTTTCAGTTATTCTTTTTGCTCTTCCTAAAATAATTTGTTTTTTAAACAATCAACGGAGTCTTGACTGGATTCGCCTAAATGATGATGGACTTCACTGGAACATTGCCAAAGGGTTGAGCCAGTATTTTTTGCCTTTGGTTTATGGAGTTTGCATTAAAAGAAACTTATGATTATATATGATATACAATAACACTTTTTGTATTTATTTTCAACTATTTGCATCTATTCACTGCAGAATAATGCATTAACACTTGTAATTTCCTCACTTCCTCTCAATTCCACTGACCGACAATATCAAGGGCTAATATAACTAAACAGAAAAATCATGTGACTGGCATGACTAAAATTAGACAAAACACTTCAGTTTTAGATCTAACTCAAAAGACATCTGTTTTGTAATATTAATTATAAACAGATTAAATTGATAAGATTTGTAAATAAAAAATCCAAGGGAATCTTATCATATCTTCCTAGTCAGAATATTAATTTAAAATGCCAAGTTTAAGCATTGAAGTTCCATATATTTTAGAAATACACATATCGTATAAAAATATGTGCATTTTTGTTAACATGCAGATTTTGTTATGAATTCTGGTACTTTTTTAAACAAATCTGATGAAGAATTTGCATTACCTGGTAATTTGATAAGACTAGAACACACAGGATATACTGTATTCATTACAACAGATCTAGTGACTCTAACTCCTGTGTACTGATCAAAAGCTCCATACTAACACCTTGGTATACCAAATTTAAGCCAGTATTTGTCATTTGGAGTCATAGTGATATGGTGATTTAGAAGTTTGAAATACTATATAAAAAAGGAAACATGGAATTTCGTCAGCACGAAGTCTGATACATGTACAAGTTATATGAGGTATATTTAATGATTGTTGTATTGTAGTATGTGCATCATGATACCAGCATCCCAGTCATGAACTTGAGTCTGTAATTTTGACTCAATTACAAAAAATCATAGAGATCTAGAAAATTTTGTTATTTAAATTTTTTTTCTTTTTTTTTCAGTGTTTGTTGTTATCAATCACTACCTTGCCTTTCAATACTTTTCATCGGTTTGGTTCCCATTCACAGATGTAAGTATATCTCCAGTTTGGTTCTATGTATTGATCAGAAGTTCAAGGAATATCCACATGTAACCATGAACTTTTCACTGACTCAAACTGAAAATACCAAAATATGCAATGTACATTTGAGAAATAATTTTAAGGTCACCAGAGACAAAGTCATAAACTTTTCCAACTTTTTCTGGAAAACTCCTGAACCGATTTCAGTGAAACCTTCCATGGCTAAAGGAAAATTATTGTGAATTATATGGTTCCCAACCCCAGGGGCCAGAGGAACAGGGCCAGAAATGGTCAATTTAATTGAACCTTCAAAAATCTTCTCATATCCCAGGTATGGTACTCTTCATGGATGGAAAGGCCTTCAGATGCTTGACCAAAATTGTAAATTTCATTACCCCAGAGTCTCACATTTCCCCCTGGGAGGGGGTAATGTTTACTATCGTTTATATAGGAAAATTACATTTTTTAACATTATTTATTTATTTTCTATTGGAAATACTTCAAATCTGGTTATAATTTTTAGTTTAAGATGACAGTTAAATGAGATGCACATACTGATCTCGGTTGACCCCTAGAGACTTATGGGCAAGTCCAAAAATGGGTAAAATTGACTGAAATTTCAAAAATTTTCTTCTGAATACCCAGATAAGGCAGAACCAAGTACTCTTTATACGTTGAGGTGTCTTACAGTGCTGTACCTACCATCATATTGCTTATATTGCTATTTAATGGAGATAGGTATTTGTTAAGTTCAAAAGTTAAATGGAATAGAGAAATTACATGGAGCTTGGAAACAGTTCTGGTTCAATATTTATAGATATTTAGTCTGAACTATATTGTACACATAATGCAAATCTAAATTGTGCATAATATTAACTACTGTCCCATGCTAAGGCTTCTAGCAAAGTTTGAATTAAAAAAATTACTCTAGATTTGAATTTTTCTGAATGAAACCTCCCATCTAGGAACATCTTTGAAATTTCAGTCTATTTGACCAATTTTTTGCTCTGCCTATCAGCCCCTGGAAGTCAGTCACGGTCAATATGTGCATATCATCAAACACTCCGCTTATACTAATAACAAAGAATCCTAATCAACTTTGAACTATGTCTGAAAGAAAAGAAACAAATTATGTTCAAAAATGGTAGAGCACCAGATTTTGCAAATCTCAACTGAAGATTTGAGGTCTGAGGTTCAATCCTTACCCAGGAGAATTGATGTTTATCAAGAAAGAAGTTGCCTTAATTCTTAGGCCTTTTCTGTGTTGTACGTTGAGGTAGTCACCAGCTACTTTAACAAGAGGAGGTTGCCTCAAAATGACCCAGTGTGTTCATGTTGTAAACCTTCCAAACAATACAAATAAAGACAGTGAATTATAGCTCGATACAAATGTCAATGTTTTTTGGTTATTTATCCACAGGTGTTGTCATACTTCACACTCTGTCTGTGGCTGGTGCCATTTGCCTTTTTTGTTTCGCTTTCTGCCAACGAAAACGTCTTGCCGACAATGACAGAAGCAAGACCCCAAGGACAGGACTCGTCAGATGTGGTATCAAACTACTTTAAGGCAAAGGGAAAGAAATATGGACTGCTTTCTTTTTTGAAGTCTGCACAGGATAGCATATTACCAGATCGTGTTAGGAAACATTACTGATGAAATGAGCAAACAAGAAACTGTATCTTTAATGCTATGTTTTGTGGTTTTCTTTTGAGAGAGAAAAAACTCTGTCTTTTCAGATTGAATTTAAGTGTACTAGATTTCTTGTTTAATGCTGATAGTTTTTATTTTGATTGTGAATTTATATATCTGTAAGGTTAGACTTCCATGAACCCTTAGACCACCACACAGACATCATAATAACTACAAATAAAATGTTATTGCATAGGTTTTGTTCTTTACGATGCAAAACTTCATGGTTTTGTGCTTTGAGAAAACATAGTTGACTTAACTTGGAGTTGAATTAATTGGTGCCAATCTTTAGTCTTAACTAACTTTCTGTTATATTTCTGAAAATATGAGAAAGGCCCTTATTCGAGGCCGAGAAACAGCAAAATTCACACTCCTCAAAGTGAAAGTTCAGCATGATATAATAGTAGATAAGCAGTGTCCCATTAAAATTGGGAATTTGATATGCTGTATACAGGGAATGTCCAATAATTTGCTTGTTTTGTGATGAAAAAGGTACTATCATTTTAAATGCATATAATTCATTTGGTATTTTACTGAGATGAAGTAAAAAATACACATTCAAGTGTCAGGAATGGAAATAAAAATGACTAAAAGTTAGATAATTTGTTTTAATGGATGTTATATGTTATTGAAATGAAGAATATTGAAATATACTCTTAAGACTTAAACTTGTGTAAGAAATTTGACAAACTCATCTGATGTAACAGTATGTATAATAATCATATCAATTCACTTGTAAATAACAGTGATATATATTGTGTAGACTTATCTCACATTTGATTTTCCTTCACAATCATTTTATCAGTTCATATTGTTGAGAATTGGTTATATTCACCTTTGCACAGGTATTCTTGTATTAAGCATACTTTGTAACATTATTTAAATCTACATCTAGACCATGATGGAAATAAGATCCATTTAGCCATATTATAATTTGTGTTTAATCAATTATCATTTTCTGTCAGCAGTGGCATTCACTTGATAACAACTCTGTATACAAATCTGTGTATTTGTCAGTATAATGATTATACTTATCATCAATATCTAATTGTTAATAGTTAACAGTGATATTGAAGCTGTACTAAAAAACATGTACCACAGTCATCTGTAGCTTTACTATTCAAACATTTGTAAAGCCAAACATTATAAACAGTAGCCAACAACAGTTTTGGAGTGATTGTACCCACAGAAATTTACAACAAGGTAATGATATTCTTTATAGCTTATCCCAAATAATAAACACGCAGAAAGATATGACAGGAGTAATTCTGAAAATAATCCTGTCAGTAGGTAATAATCGAGAGAAATTTAAACTATCATGGGTACAAAAATTTGTGATGTATAAAAAAATACATATGGGATGTCATATGTAAGGAAAGTATTGGTTGTACTGAGTAGATACTTCAGATGATTCATACTACCTAAAGTGATTAGGGGTCATAAGGCTAAATATAGTTAAACAATATCTGAAAAAAAAAATATATGAATTTCTTTGGAGAAAATAATAAGAAACTGATCGTGGTCGTCTTTGCTATTTGTAAACCTTTTCTAAAATATGATTGAGAAAATAATAAGAAACTGATCGTGGTCGTCTTTGCTATTTGTAAACCTTTTCTAAAATATGATTGAACTATTTCACTCAACAAAAAAATTACTGGTACTCTGAGGTAGCAATGTACTATCTGACAGACTCCTTCAGTGCTAATGGCAGGGGTCAAGATAGTGATGTTCATTCAGATGGCTGTGGAATAGCCCCCAAAACATGTGGTTGCCTGGGTACTTGGTCTAAAGATGCAGCAAGATAAACGATTGATAACTGTTTAGTTTTACACCTGTGTTGATAACTGTTTAGTTTTACACCTGTGTTGATAACTGTTTAGTTTTACACCTGTGTTGATAACTGTTTAGTTTTACACCTGTGTTGATAACTGTTTAGTTTTACACCTGTGTTGAAAACTGTTTAGTTTTACACCTGTGTTGATAACTGTTTAGTTTTACACCTGTGTTGATAACTGTTTAGTTTTACACCTGTGTTGAAAACTGTTTAGTTTTACACCTGTGTTGATAACTGTTTAGTTTTACACCTGTGTTGGTAAATTGAAAGCTTTCTTTGGGTTTTTATGTTGTTTATTTTTTAAAATGTACAAATAGAGCTTTCATGTGCATAGGAGTAAACTTTAAAACGGTGCTGTGAACATCTTTTATACTGAATACATTTGTATGTCCTACATTTTCCCACCCACCATTTGAACCGTGATACATGATGAACTGATTGGCTGTTTTACATTGAATGTTATATGTATGTTAGTATTATGTGTAGTCAGTGTACACAAAGATAAATTGTGCTTACTGATGTTGTGGTGTGTCTTTCCCATGGGATTGTTTGTTTGTTTGGCTTTTTGTTTTTCTTTTTACACAAATTGACATTCTAATGCTACAACTTGTCAGAACAAAAACAGGATTAACAGTTAGCCTTAAAATCTCTAGTGGCTTTAGCAGTACAAAGAAAGTGGTAAATGACCCCATTGTAAAGGTTAGGGAGGGACAAGGACTCCATATTAACAGTAAAGAGCGGTTGTTTTAACCAGGTATGGGACATATGAAAGGTCTGGAGAGTTTGTCATTAAAGCAAACTTTTCACATTTGAGAACATATAACAAAAGTTCAACTGAGATCTATATCTGTAACAGTTTCCCTATGCAAACCAAGACTTAAAATGAAGTTTAATGTGAAGTCTTGGTGATGGTGAGATTTGTTATGTCAACAATGTACAACATTGTTTGAATCAATAACCAAGTAACTGTGATGGTATGGTTGAGATTAAATTTGGCTTCAAACTGTTATCAGCATTAGGTGTTGTTGATGTTAGTTGGTTGTGTACCAGAAAGTGAACAAATAGTGTATGATTTGATAACCCATCTCATACATACACCAGTCTATGCAAATGATTTTAACTTCCTTGAATATTTTGTAATCAAGGAATGTTTTGTGAGTTCATTTTGTGTGATTGTTTGCTTGAGTTTTTTTGTTCGTGTCCTAAAATTAGTTTTCATATAGCAAAGCTAGATTTGTCATCTCAGTACTGCTAGGTGTATGTGTGTAGCACCTTGAAGATTTGAAAGATTGATGTGTTGGATGAATTTCATTGAAACTGAGAATTGGATTATTTTGGAGAGTTGTGTTTTGAACAGAATTTATTTGAAAACCGATGCATATACATAAATGTGTTGATGAAAAGAAGTGCTGTTTTTTATAGTTATTGTACAATATCTATCCTGAATTAATTTTCAATCTACTTCCTGAAAACTCCAAACATCATAAGATCTATAAATATCATATGATGCAAGAGATATCTGATGTTTGTGAAATTGAATATAAACACAAGGGTGTAAAAGGTCATATTCATTGTTGAAAACATGAGTTTATTTATAATATGATAATTTCTCATACATAATGTAACCTATCAGTTGAAATCCAAATAAATGATTGATTTACAAAAATATTAAGTATATATTTATGTAGATGAATTTCTTATAATTGCACATATTAATGAAATGTATAATGTGATAGGGATAATTCTATGATTATGGTGATATAAAACACTCAAGAAAATAATGTTAAAAACTAAAAACTCCTTGTAAGGCATGAATTCCACATGCATATGAAAGGAATTTTCATAAATATTAATGCACACATTACCTTGACCTTTGAGCCCTGAAACATAGTCATGATTACATACATGTATCTTATAAAGACTGAATATTGTAAAGTTGAATATGATTATTGTACACATACAATTTTATTCATGTGGAATGTTTTTATACAGTAGTGAGATTGTCGTCGTATGGAAAAGAAATGAGACTACTTCTATACAAAATGTACAGGTAAAACTTAGAAAGTCAGAGTGCAGGCTTAAAGATCAGCTCTCTTATTATGTAATGATATCGGGTTTTTTTAGGTCATCTGACCAGAAGGGTCACCATGCGCCGTCCTCTGTGCGTGAACTTTTGACATTTCAAAACTTCTTCTCAAGTTCAACCAATGGGATTGAGCTCAAACTTGCATGAAATGATTCTGAGATGGTCCTGACCAAGTGTTTTTTTTTCAGGTATATCTAAAATCCAAGATGGCTGCCATCTTGGAAAAAACATTTTAAACTTCTTTTGCAGTTCCATTGATGCCATTGAGCTAAAAATTGGTGGGAATGTTAAGGAAAGGTAGCCAAGGAAGTGTGGTTATTTTTTAACCACAGCAGCCAGGGAGGATTTTGTACATGACTGCGCAATCATGGTTTTCCTGTGCAATACCTATTTCTTCTCAAGTTTCATCAGTCGGATTGAGCTCCAACTTTACTGTCAAAAATTAGGTAACACTTGTTACAGTAACATACTCCTCACCAAAACTACCATCTCCATCATGAAAAACACCTTCTTAGTAAGATTTCATTCAAAATAGAAAATATAACCCTTCTCCCTGCTGAATGTTTTTGTAATCAGATGACCGTTAATGCCCTTAGGCCTCTTGTTGAAAAATATTGTTGTAACCAAGTTCACTTTTGTGCTTGTACCATAAGTAAAACCCATGACTGTTGATTTACCAACTGAGCGATTGAAAATGGCAGTGTCGGTAACAATCATTTATCTTCTGATGGTATGGCTGGGAATGTGATTGAACCCTCTGAAATTTCCTGATCATTACTAATGTGATTTAGAAGTAATGTAACAGGTGTATTGTGAAGTTGTTGTTTATGATTTCAGTGTAATATGTTGCACAGGAGAATGTCTCCCAATAGTTAGTGTTTCTTGAATGTTTCATTTCTAACTCGTATGAATGTGTTGTCATTTGCTCAAGTATTTTTTGTTACCCGAATGCAATATATGCATATTTATGTACATCAAATTAATTGTAGGGTTCTACCTAACTACTCGATCTTATCTTTTGTCTTGTAGTATTAACAGCAACAAAGATAAAAATAAACTTGCAGTTAGATTGTGAGAACTTACTAATATGAAACTTGTTCTGTCATCAACAGGTTATTTGTATTACGGTGTGATAGAGTAGTTGAGATTTTAACTAGCTGCCAACAACTGGCCAGTTCATTCATCACCAAATCATAATTATTCTACTGTTGGCTGTAATAGTTCAGATTTTAAGTGACTACCATCGATAGGCCAGGGCATTCATCACAAAGTCATTATTTGTTGCACTGGCCAGCAATCAGATTATCTTTCTCCACAACTACTGTACATCCCCTTTTTCAAAATACAAGTCAGAATCATGATTTTACTATAGAGCTTTAAAGTGTCCCTATAAATATATTTTTGAACTAGAAGTTGGTTTAATCGTGAATGCAGAGATCCCTGTGAAATCAGCTGTAAACTTTGTATAAAATAGAGGCCAAGTCCAGGAGGAATGAGCAGGTTATTGTATTTGAATACATTGTACTGCTCTTCCTGTAAAACTCGGTTAAGATTGAATGGAGAAAGAAATCCTGTATAAGCTAATGGTAATTCAATTGTTCTGGTGTGTATAATGTTAGATTACCGTTAGGTAATGCAATAACTACATTTTTAGTGTACACTCTCATGTTAATTGATGTTTTTTTATGTGTAAATTTTCAATGAAATTCATCAATACATTGTATGTGATGTATGATGGTATTTGATATGTTACATGCTGTTACCAGTATATTGAAATATGCATGTTGTCCTTTATGGAATTATAGAAGTATTTGTGCAGAGCATGGTAATAAAAAATTGCAATCTAATAATTTGATTATTTCATTGAATTTGTTTATAAACTATCAGGTGCTGATTGGCATCATGTCTACAATATATGAAAGACATGTATTGGGATCATGAACATGGTACAATTGTTTAGATCACCCAAGATGAAGTCTCATGTCAACTATTGCAATCTCATTATGTTATCTATTATGTTCAGCATCATGCATCAGTTAATAACTGATATTTCATTTAAGCTATCCATCAGTAACAGTAGGCTATTCAAATTGCTTTTCACCCATCAGTAAACAATCTATGTAATCGCTACTACAAGAATGTTAAACCTGATATGTAGATTCTCTCTGTCCTTAATGTTCAGTCAGATCAATGCAACAAAATTGCTGAAGGTATTGGCATTTAACAGTCCCGGAGAAGTTCTATAGGTACACAGATACTTCATTTGCAAAATTCATCAAGTTAGATTCAGATTTGTACATGTTATTACAAAATCTGTGCAGTTACAATTTAGAAATTTGGTATCAAACCAAAGGGCAATAACTCTTATCAAATATTAAAATGCCATTTAAACAACTTTAAGCCATGGTTGATCAATCATGTCCAGGTGAGCCAAATTACTGCTCCAGAAGGATAGACTGAAAGTTATTACAGGTAATTATTTGGCCTGCACTGTATTGCTATAGGCTTCATAAATAAAAGGCAAGCATACCAAACAATGATTGCAAGCATCTAACTAGAATAAAGGTAAAGTTCAAAAGGTCATTACAGGTGGGCTATACATAAACTTTCATTCAGACAAACTGAAACTCAGATGCCGAAAATTTGATAATACCACCACACTTATTTTATTGGTACAGGCATCAGAATATGTACTGTAAATATGCATTTTCACATATTTTAAATTGTTTTCCTTAAGTGACCAGCATTCTTTATTTCAGAGGTGGATTAGTATCCAACTAAGTTCTTTCTCAATCAAAATGTATAAGAATGATACTGGGGAAAAAACCCGCAAATTACTTACTTTGACTTGACAACAACCATCTTCATAACAACCCAAAAATGACTGGACACTTTTTTTGAAACTCAAGAAATGCACTGAAATATTCATATTTGGGTTCTAAAATTTTAAATCCGCATTTATGTATAAAAATTTTGTTGCATTCAGCCAAAAACTAATGGAATTACTTAGTAGAAGTACCCTAACCATGGAGAAATGTTGTGTTGACAATGAAAAAACAGAATAACGTCAGCTAGTAGTGGAGTTACATAATGTTGTCCACAGGCTGAATTTCTATACACATCATATCTAGCGCTCCACTAAAGCTATCGATAACGTAACATATCAAAATTTAAGACTCTATTATATTGGGTATGTTATGTTCAAATTTATCTTATATTGAATTATGCTTTTTTTCAACATCTGTTTCAAACAACAAAAAATTGATGACACATTCCATAAACATTTTGAAACAAAACTCATCAAACAAAATAAATGTTGTTTACTGAAGTTTTATTTCACATTTACCAAATCTTAGACATGCAGTCTGAATATAATATCTTACATCTGTCTTTATCCATCATAAAATGTAATGATAGTAGTATGAACTGGTCCAAATCTTAGTACCCCATACAATGTAAACGGCTCAGAGTCAGTTCAATTTTAATGAATTGTATCTACAATGGATGTTGATGAGAAAATTGTAGATCATAGGTACCAGTTGTATCACGTGAACAGGAAAGACATCAAAACATAATACGAAAAATCTGTTGTATACAACATTAAAAAAGTTTAATTGAAACAAACTTTGTTAAATGCCAATATTGTTCATTACCTATCCTAACATACACTCTTTTATATCAAACAGGTCTTTATCTAAAGAACTAATAAATCTATTTGAAACAGAATCAGTATTGCCTTGGCAAAAGAATTACATTATCAGAATTAGCAAATTTATTTCATGTAAATTAGCAAATTGTAAGAGAATTTAGTTTCAAACACAGTTTAGCATTTTATGAATCAAAAGGCAACAAACAGACAATTAGAGCTTGAATTTGTTTATCACTTTTTGATTCATACAAGGCAAGCACATGTACAGATTAAATTTTTGTTATTACAAGTTTTTTGATTGGTGAAATTTTAAGTGCTTGTGTTTTCAAACTAAAAAGATATTAATGCAATTTATGAAATCAATACAGTATAATCATGGTTTTATCTACCAAAACACCTTCACAATTTTGATCAATTAAATGCTTTAAATTCTAACAACTGTTCATTTTTCAAACTGCATTATTGTGTGGCAGTAGAATAATTACTGTACAAACATACTGTACACTATGTTACATATTCAAATTTAAATATGATAAACAAATGGTTTAATAATAAAGCTGATTTGTAATATGACTAATGAAAAGTTTCACAAACCAACATTCTCTACAATTTCATGCATTTCATCCCTCATGTTTCTAGGACATCATATGACTGTGGATACTCACAATAACATAGAATCAAATTTCCTTATCACTGTACTGGCCATGTGTTGTGCCTACACCTACTCCTACCAAGGTTTAAAGCCATCTACCTACAACACCTGAACTCAACAAGACACCTGTGCTATAGTGTACCTCTGAACACACAAAGGCTTCTTCATGAGACAACATAAGAGCCCATGTATCTACAAAAAAGCTTATCAAGGATGAGGATACATGTACCAGGGATTTGTTACAACCTTGACATCATTCTCAGAGCTATGTGAATTCCAGCTTCAAACATTTATCATAATCTTTCATGATCAGAAATTCCAACAATTAACAAGACAACTCAGAATTGGTTAGAAGGGGCCAAAGCACTAGTGATTCCCGGTGATTCCAAAAAGATCTTAACTATCTATCACCTGCTCAAAACACATCATGGCCGCTGACTAAGAAAACACCTGAACCATCCAGGTGGTAACCATTTCTGATACATCTTATCTATGATCAAGCAACTCTATGTCCTCTCAAAGTTCTCAAAAGACTCCTCACACACCAAAGCTAACAAGCTGCCCATGTGCAATTGTCAACCAGACAAGTTGAACCAGAAACAAAAAAAAAAAAAAAAAGTCATATTGCAATCACTATTGTACTTTAAGAATATGATGGTCTTCTCCATATTAACCTGGGCACAATGGTTTGATTTCAATCAGTGGTTCAAGTACATGGAATGAATTCTAAAGCAAATTGTTGGCAATGATTTAATGCAATCTATTTATTGGACAGTAATTTTGCTATCAATTCCAAATATCCACTGGAGAAAAAAATTTATTTAAATAAACTATAATTTGAACAAAACAATCGAGTTGATACAGCTATATCTTACAAACATACACACACACACACAATTCTCTAAATTATAGACACTGTAGTATCAACTTGGATATCACATAGTCATGTCGACTTTCTTCAAGAAATATTAAGTGAATGTTCCTAATGTTAAATTTGATACCACTTTGACAGCTGATGGAATTTTCTGGTGGCTGTATTTTAACATATATGTAGAGTTTTTGTAGCAACATTTATCACACAGTACATCAATTCTTTTCCTCTTTCTTCTCTTCTCCCTCCCCATCTTGTGATGTTGATTCAGATGAGGATGAACCTGCTTCATTTGCTCGGTCTGCTTCCATCTGAGAAGACAATAAAAATTGTTAAAACAAAGTGCTGATGAAGATATCACAGCTTTACCTGTATTTCTCAACAAATCCTACTTTGCCACAAGGAAGTCAAGACCATACATTTATGCTGATACAGGTTTCATTTTCCTTTGAAATGTTATCAGTTGTCACCTAATGTCTATAAAAGATTGATTCCCTTTCAACTAAGAATCCTTCAGACCAAAATCCATTCATTCCTACAGAAGCAGGATTTTAAAAGAATTTGCTTCCCAGACCTAATGTTTAGACATGATTGATTCCCCTTCACCCAAAGTTGCTTCAGACTAAATTTATACAATATCCATTTATCCATATAGAAGGAGTTGAGTTTTAAAAAAATTGCAAAATTCACCCTTTAGGCCTAACCTCCAAGACAAAGAACCAATACTTATACACACTTGGTTCTGCTTCCTCCGAGGAGGATTCTGACCAAATTCAGTTAAAATTTGTTCAGTCATTCATGACTGGTAACAATTTTTTAAGGAAAATTGACAGACGCAAGACAAAGCTATGCTATAGCATAAGCTTACCGGTTCTTTTGGAGCAGGTAAGCTAAAAATGGAGATTTCTCATAAAGCATACTTAGTAATATCTCACAAGAACTTTTTCAACATAAATGCTTCTGAAACATATTTTCAAGAAAACATATTGATGCTCTGGATCATCCATAATATTGTTGGTGTATTTTAATTTTTATTTAATATTTAGGGCTTATATTGAAAGGAAGATATTTAGGAATGAATTGAACTAGAAGATAACATTTTGTATGGAAGATAAGTGTATAATTTCTTTCATACCTTTTTGTAAGCCATTTCAAATAATTTTAATGATGACTGTTGTAATTCATTTGTTGCAGACACTATATTTTCTGGAGACTCATTTTCTTTGTTGGCTAAAACTTCTCTTGTCTTGGCAATCTGTTCCTTCAACTTCTGGCACTGAAATTTGATGGGACATGAGAACAATGTAACATCACAAATGGTCGGACTCATAATCAGTTGTTTAAAATACATCCATCCAGATATAAAAATCTGCAAACATGTAGGGGAACAGTAAACGGTGTACCACGGACTAGCTAACTATTTTGATCTACCATCAAATTTCTTTATAATAGGTCAAGAATTATTTTATCAAACTGTCATATATTTTTGAAGATATTAGAAAGGGGCAAATAATTACAAAAATGTTCAGAATAAAGAAAGTATTGTTGATTCTCTTACTCTTAAGCTAAGCCTACTTTATATTAGGCCCAGAAATTCAGAACTTATTTGTCAAACAAACAAAATTCATTATGACACATGCACATCCACACTCCAGCAAGTTTTGCCCTTCATGACCACCATATCTAATTTAAAATACACTCTTCTTCAGTAGGTCCAATTTGTTTACCCCATCAACACTTATAAAGGAATTTCATTACAATGAAAGTTTGTGATGGAACAAATTTTTCCGAGTGCTGAATTTCCTCTTGATTAAATCTTGCAATCTGTGATACACACACATATTTCTACAATGTATTGGGACCTAGATAGCTAATGACCACATGGTTTATTCATCACAGTTATTACATCATTGTAAGATAGTTTGTTCATGCTTCCTCTGATTTACATCTTAAACAATGTGTTACCTCTTCATCTGGTAGTTGGGCTTTGAATTCTTCCATTTTTGTCTCGGTATCGTGGATGATGCTTTCAGCCTTGTTGATGGCCTCAACAGTTTCCTGCAATTCATTTAAATGTATTGAGATTTCAGTTTGTTTTCATTAATGTGATTTTTAGTTCCTAACTTTACAGCATTTCCTACACAAAAATGGCATATTCAAGGTTTGTAATAAATGTAGACACAAACCGAAGGTTATTTTTTGCCAGAATTGGTTCTTAAAAACATATAGAGAAAAGGATGTCATTCCCTTCATTATTATATACAGATAACTTTCAAAGAAGAACACTTAAGACAAATTTTAACATGCTATCATCAATACCCAATTCTTTTATTTATCATTCATTTAATATTTCCTTGATAATTTTCACATGCTAATTTCAATGTTTTCATAGGACTGCTAAACAGTTAACTATAATATAGGGTTTCTGTGTCTTTATCATATAATTTGCTTAAGTCTGCAGCAAATTCTGGATAGGAGAAGTGAATTTGCATGTAATTATACTGTATATTGTTAATTGAACTAAATGATCTTACTTTTCGCTTGATATCCTCAGCAGCATACTTCTCTGCATTCTTAATCATGTTTTCAATATCATCTTTACTAAGACCACCTGAAGACTGGATTACAACTGAAACAAATTTTGAAACATTTTATTTTTTGTTGAACATTTCATTCTCTTTGTATTAATGTTTGAATTAATGTGAAGAAATTTACATGAAAAACAACTTACACAGAGAATTCTTTAAATCATCACTGATGCTATCAAACATGAATCTATCTTTTAGATAGAGTAATAACCAAGCTTAAAAAACAAAGGTCCTGAATAGGTATTAGTGATATTTTGACAATTCAACTTCAAGTATTGTTTGTTGGTTACGCTAATTAACTTATCCCTCGATTACAAAATAAAAATCATTCTCGTTTCCCTACATTTAACACAGAAAATGTCTTAAATCTCAATCATGTCGCACAACATTATGATCATGTGCTTGGGTGAACCAGACAACATTGAGGCTTAAGTGTTTAATAGATATTATTTTCCAATGCCTATGGGATAAGTCTAGAAAAATGAGTCCATTCTTCATGACTTTCCAGACAAGAAAGCACAAAGTACATCACAATCTGACTTTTAAATACTTCTTCATGTAATCAGTCATTGTTAAAATGGAGATGTATGTCTTTCCTATGATCAATTATCAAACCAATCATAGATTCGTTCAGAGGATCTGACGATCGACCATGATTCCCAACACTAGTAGGTATACATACTCTGTTGTTCCTTTCCAGTTCCCTTGTCTCTGGCAGATACATTCACAATACCATTGGCATCAATGTCAAAGGTCACCTCAATCTGAGGGATTCCCCTTGGTGCTGGGGGAATTCCAACCTAAAAAAAATATCTTAATCTTTCATTCCTTGTTATCAAACAAGACAAAAAATAAAAATGGTATCCTCCCTAACCATTTAGTTCTTTTTTTTTTCTGCTCAATGAAATGGAGAAATTACTGGTTGATCATGTGATCAGTGTTAGCTTCAATAACCATGGCCAGCAGGCTACATCTGTTTGACCAGTTCTCGAAAGCTGTTTATCTCCCAGTGTAAACATGAACCAAACTACTGAAAAAATAAGGCTCATGCGATATGCTGGTTACATCTGTGCATGCATTAAGAAAATCTCAGAGATTCAGCAATTTTAAAGTCACAAAAGGTAAACAAGAACTTGTTTTGTGAAATAGTATGTCGTAAACATGGACTAGTTTTGTGGACAATCATGACATTTATGGAGTACCTACCAGCTGGAATTGTCCTAAGAGTTTGTTATCACTGGCCATCTCTCTCTCACCCTGGTGTACCTTGATCTCTACTTGGGTCTGCCCATCAGCTGCTGTCGAAAACACCTGAAGGATACAATGTTTTACATTCAGATCAATAATACTGAAAATAAACATGCCTTTGTCATCAAAAACCACAAAACTTTCTGTATAAAACTATTCTTTCTTCGTTTACAAGGTTTCCTTCTGCTTAGACATACTTCCTCCTAGTAATGATTAATAACAAAAACAATTCACTATATCGAGAGAAAATATCAAAAGAGTGTGGAAACATCAGATTACAAATATTGTTTTTTTTAAATACTGAGTCAGCGTAAAATTATTGAACATCGTAAATCACTTTCAACATTAATTGTTTTTCGATAGTAGTGATGCTTCCATCAGAACATCTGCATGTCTAATTATGTTACAAAGAAAAGCAGATCCTAGACACATCTTACCTTATCACAAGAAAGCTTGATCAAACTTTAATTCAAGCATATTAAATAAACCCCAAGGCATCAAGTAAGAAAGGAGTCAATAAATTTCCTCAATATTTAGATTTTGTGAGACAAAAATTGATCTTTATGTCTGGTAATTACTGATCTAAGAGGAGCTATATTCCTTTACATTTTAACAATAATTGATCAGCAACATAAATTCAGTCTTACTTGTGATTTCTTGGTAGGAATGGTAGTGTTCCTGTTAATCAGCTTGGTGAACACTCCTCCAAGAGTTTCAATACCAAGAGACAGAGGGGTGACATCTAGCAGCAAAACATCGGTCACATCTCCTGCTAAGACACCTCCCTACAAACAAATTGTTTATGCATTTACAATATTGTCAGCCAGTGAAGTATATTATCATTAACTTTTAAACATCAGGCTTAAAAATTAAAAAAAAAAAAATTATATAAATGATCATATTGTAAAATTACTTCACTTCATTTAAAAAGTAAAGATACGAAAACAAACAATATGCAGCTTTTAAAACATTGAGAAAAATAAAAACTGGGTAAATTGACAAACCTGGATAGCAGCACCTATGGCTACAGCCTCGTCTGGGTTTACAGATTTACTGGGCTGTCTACCAAACAGTTCCTGAACTGTTGACTGCACCTGGAAGCAAATAGTTCCCCTTGGGATTACACAAATTACAGAGGTGAAGGAACCAAATATCATCAATTTTATATCAACTTTGATCAATTAGTTTAACTATTAGGAGAAATGTGCTTCTGTGATAAAAAACCTTGCTGAAAGTTATTTCTACATCTCTATGGTCAGTGAACCTCTCTCCTATGACCTAACCTGAAACTGGCCAACACTTGTTCTAAAAATATCTTGAACTGGAGACTCATGCTGGTTATTCAATCTAAATTTCTCTTTCAAATGCAACAAACCATTATTTAACCACTATCAAAATGTCAATGCAAACTTCAGTAATCATGACCAACAGGCTAAATCTGTTCAACAAATATCTTAATTTTTTCTTTCAGTGCTAATATGACCACGTATTCAATCTTTTTTTCTTTAATTTTGGAAAGTTTAAATTTTGTTGTATCAATTTCACATTTTCATTCAACTCACCTTTGGCATTCGGGACATTCCACCAACCAAAATGACCTCTCCAATGTCAGATTTTTTTATATCAGCATCCTGCATGGCCTTCTGACAGGGTCCGACTGTACGTTTGATGAGACTTTCAACGATGGACTCAAATTTTGACCTTGAAAGTTTCAGGTTCATGTGTTTGGGACCAGAAGCATCCATTGTTAGATATGGCAAGTTTATTTCAGTCTGTAATACAAAAACAATTTTTGATCAATTTCCAGTTCAATCTTTAATTAACTGGCATGTCTTTTAAACAAAAAAAAAAATGTTCAAGAAGAAAAACTAGTTTGTTATTACCTGAAGTGAAGAAGACAGTTCAATTTTCGCTTTCTCTGCAGCCTCCCTTAATCGCTGCATGGCCATATTGTCTTTCGTGATGTCAAGTCCTTGCTGAAAGGTCAATTTTACATGAATAATCATCTTGCTTTGCAATTCACACTAAAACCACAGTAACGAGATTTATCATTATATAGGGAGGTTTTAGGTTCAATCCTGAGCTTATATACAAAAATGAAGCATGCTTGTTAGGAGAAAACTGATATGTTTGAATTATATATATAACATCTGTCTTAACCATTTCTTTTTTGGCCTATTTCAGTGAGAAGTCATTGGAACACATGGTCAATCAGCTCTGCATTGAACTCCAGAATGAGTCAAGAATATGTTGGTGATTAATGGCTTTTTATGTTAAGATATAATTGTAAGTGTGCAGATGCAATAATTTCAACATACTAGCCATCTATGAAGTACCCCAAACCTCAACTCTAAAAGATTGAGCATTGCTGTTGATTCCCCCAGTCTACAAGGTTAAGCATTGCTGTTGACCCCCCCCCCCCCCCACCAAATCTATATAATTAATCATTGTTGGTGATTTCCCCCAGTCTATATAATTAATCATTGTTGGTGATTTCCCCCAGTCTTTATAATTAATCATTGTTGGTGATTTCCCCCAGTCTACAAATTCAAGCAATGCTGGTGATTTCCCCTAGTCTATAAAACTAAGCATTGCTGGTGATTTCCCCTAGTCTATAAAACTAAGCATTGCTGGTGATTTCCCTCAGTTTATAAATAAAACTAAGCATTGTTAGAATTTAAGTTGTTTTGCATGTTTATAATCATCAGTGTAGAGATGGCCATATTTTCAACCTACCCAAAAGGCCCCCATCTTATATAACTAAGCATAAATGTTTCGTTACCTTCTCAACACTAGCAAATTAAATGCATCAAACTAACTTTCTGAATGAAAAACCGCAACAGAAGTATCTGAAGCAGGATGTCGAAGCTCAGATGTAGGATAAAGATATTGAATACAAGAAAATACAACAGACATTACAGAATATGTGATACATCTGCCGGCAGCAAAGAGTCACAAGCACACACAAGCAGCTAGGAGACAACAAAGTAACTTTAATAGGGCATCATTTTGTGGTACAAGACATAAGAAAATTAGAGAATATCTAAGAAATGAATGCCCCACTTCCATACATATCAGTAATGTTGTTTGATGGTTGCAAAGTGGGTTGTCAAATGTGACTTTTGACCTTTTAACAATGACCTATGATAACCATCTTAATATCTTTAAATTAAGAAGTTGACATTATTACACTAGGGCAAATATACTCAAAATCATCTGTTGGGAGGTTCATAAAATATCACAATGATTCTGATGTTAAAACAGGATGTGACAGGACAGGACATCCATGGGTCACACTATATCCTCCCTCCCCATAACCATGAAAGGAGGAGGAGGCTACAAATCCTCCCTCCAATACATAGATACTTACGTCCCGTTTGAACTCAGCAGCCAAGAAATTGACAAGTTGGTTATCAAAGTCTTCCCCGCCCAGAAAGGTGTCTCCATTAGTGGACTTCACTTCAAACACACCTTTTTGGATCTCTAGCACAGAAATATCAAATGTTCCTCCTCCTAAGTCATACACTGCAATTCTGTTATGTAAAAATGTAATAAAAAATAATTGAAGAAATCAGGTAGTTGATTTCTTTAAAGATTCAAGCACCTGTTGAAACATTCCTTCAAACTGAAATATCTAAATAGTCTAGTTATCAGTCATTAAACCAAGGAGTCATTGTGTAATACACCTATTAGATTTTGATTAGGATTTTTTTTATTTCAAAAGTAGGTATCCTAATACTTGAAAGTACTGAGTGTATATCAGCTTCAATAACCATGGTCAGCAGGCTACATCTGTTTGACCAGTTCTCTAAAAGCTGTTTATCTCCCAGTGTTAACATGAACAATGTCATACAAGACAAAGCTCATGCGATACACTGGTAACAGTATCAATTAAACAGTAATATTTTCTCACAGTTTATCATCTGTTTTATCCATTCCGTAAGCCAGAGCAGCTGCTGTTGGTTCATTGATGACTCGGAGGCAGTTCAGTCCAGAAATTTGACCAGCATCCTTTGTAGCCTATAAAAAAAAAATGAAAATATCATAACAAAGAAACATTTATATAAGAGTTCATTGAGTTCCTGCACAATGTTTCTTGTTACAAGAATACAAGTATGGTAATTGAAGTTGTTTCGATATATTTTAATTGGTTCTATTAAACCTGAGATCGGATGAGAAACTTTTGAGATGTAGAACGTAGTAGCTACATACCTGTCTCTGAGAGTCATTGAAATATGCAGGCACTGTGATGACTGCATTCTTCACATTCTGACCAAGGTAACTCTCTAAGGGAAGAAAATTTTGATTTAATTTTAAAAGAAAATTATTTATATATAGCTGCAAGTGGTATATCAAAGTTACCATTGTTAATGGAGCAAGTTTATTATTCTAAAGATCAAACTTCCTAGACAATAGTGATACAGGATCAGTAATTACTGTATCTACCTCTGATACCACAGCACTAGATTTCGAAAATTTCACATTCTTTTGCTATTAGAGAGGGTAAAGATATTTTTTACACTTGTTTATCTCCATTTTAATGATGCTAAAAATAATATAAATATGTTGTATTTTACCTTAAAATGGCACTTTTCAAAATAGTCACCCCTGAATTTATTTTTTTAATTTTCTGAAATTTCTTGAATTTTGTCAAGTTAATGTGCAAAAGTAATAAAATTACAGGCATTTACCTTTCTTCTGAGCTTATTTATGCGAAATAATTCATTTGTTCTGAAGATTCTGCTTAAACAAGGTCAACCACTTGGACCATGAATTTGTTCTAGAAACTTCTCATCATAACCTTGATACAAACTATTTCTGTCAAGACAGCTTCCTATATATGGCATTAAATGATTTCACAGGAATTTCTTTTATAGTCTGTTTCAAATTTGTACTAATTCTCCATTTACTAGAAGCAACCTGCTGTAAGGTATAGGCTGTTTCATAAACTTCTGAATTAAAACTTGTAATCTGTGACTCACCTGCAGTTTCTTTCATTTTTATCAGAACAAAAGCTCCAACTTGACTTGGCGAGTAGAGTTTGCCGTTACCTTCAACCCAAGCATCACCATTAGATGCTTTCACAATCTTGTAAGAAACTGTTTTCCTGGAAAATATGCAAAGTACAATCACAGTAACCCCGTGTCAACCGCATAAATTTGTTCCAAAAACAGAATCAATCAAATCGGAATTCAAACAACTTCAATATATATTTCAATAAGAGAAGAAACACAAAAAGCATTTAACCAATGTCACATAAAATTTCCTTCTGATGCGCCTAACTTCATCAAAATAGACTTGTTGATGAATAAATTTCAAAATAATTCTTACATATCTTTCTGCACTTCAGCATCTGTGAAACGGCGACCAATCAAACGTTTTGTGGCAGAAAATGTGTTTTGAGCATTAGTCACTGCCTGTCGCTTGGCTGGCATTCCGACTAAACGTTCGCCATCTTTAGAGAATGCTACAACTGAGGGTGTTGTACGTGCTCCTTCAGAATTCTCCAGGACCTTGGCACTTTTTCCTTCCATGAGTGCAACACAGGAATTTGTTGTGCCAAGGTCAATACCAATCACATGTCCCTTCACTTTTTCAGACCTATTAAAAAACAGAATAGTTATAACCTTAAACAGCTACATAAAAAGCAGAATACACTCCTTCAAATAGATACTAAAGGAAAACATATTTAATCCCTCCTATGTGAAAAATAAACTTTGAAACCTGAAAGCTGAAATAAATGTTTGAATTCATAAATGAATACTTATTCCCCCATCTTTCATACAGAGAAATAATATTTTCAACCCAGATAGATAAATTTAGCGACCACATCTCAATCTGGCAAAATTTGTTTACAACCATGTTCACACGAGTTTCTTTATGCCCAAATTATGCATCACCATGTATCAGCATTTTTCAACAAATTGAAAAACAAATTTGTAAATATATCAATGATCTATTGATATTTCCTATTGATGTTTAAGACAATAGTAAGTCAATGCATAATTCTTTGACTGAATGTCATTAATAATTGGGCATTTTTTAAAAGATATTAAAGACAAAATCTGCTATTCTTATCTTGCAAAAGTTATACTTAATGTTTCAACCTGTAATTAGTTTTGTTCATCAACAATTCAAGTTTGAAATACAAAACCCTCATACTTACGCATGCCTCTTGCTTTGGTACTGAACTGGTTCATTTTTAGAGTTTACTGCAGCAGCTGGAGCCTACAACATATACAGAAATTCTTTTCTTATTAAATTCAGTATGCAATTTTCCATTATCAACATGTTCTGTATGGCATCTAATGAAGAATTAGAGCGACTGTTTCAGCAGTTTTCCTCGCTACCTCTGAACATGGGATAAAAAAAAACCCCACAAATTAGTGAAATTCAGACATATATACTTGGTTTTCAATGACTTTCCATAATGAATGCATTGTTAGGGGGGGTAAACTGAGTACCAGTTTCAAAACACAAGTGTGAACACTGTCTTAGTAAAGAAACTATTTCATTGTTTGGTTTTGGATGTTTAAGGGAGGGCGAATATTAAGGTGGAGTTTTACACATATGCACAATGAACAATGTATGAATAGAGGAGAACACATGTTAAATTCTTATTTATGATCAGTAGATACTTGTACACCTCATGCTAGAACTTACTATTTAACTCTTAACTAACAAACTTTTTGCACTGTCAGGAAAGATTTTCATTTAGAATCCCATATGTGCACAAGGGGCTGTCGGAATGTGATCAGTTCCTGATGCACATGTACAAGTTCATGTGTATACTTATTGGTAGGCTCAATGAGCATGCTAACGCTGACTTGTGACACAATATTAATGTTTTTTACTGGTAAGGTTGAATAACAATGTTACCACTAGCTTATCATCGAGTGTTTATTGCATCGTTTTTATTACAGTAATGTTAATGAAGCTTAATTCACATAAGGTTGACATTGTTCTCACTTTTCAATTGAAAGCCCCTCAGAGACCTGTACATTTTATATATTGGTAAAATATGTTGGGTAATCTGGCATGGAATGGGAATTTCTGGGTACGTTTTCACCCTTTATTGTTGAAATGCTTAAATCATGTGTTTCTATTTCAAATGACCTTGTATTTGAGTACCTAATCAATTACCCATATGTAAAATCTCATAGCAGCAATTATCACTCAAATGCATGACTTTTATCCCATATACCCATTGTCTTCTACCTGAATAAAATGAGGTGCCACTTTCATTGAAATGAACTAAATTTCATATTTTTTGTGTTTTTGGTGGTTGGTGTCTGCAGGTTGTATAATACAAATGGTCTTGCAAAATTGAGACATCTCAACTTTCCATTTGCATTACTAACCCTGATTATGCCTGGTGTTGCTCACCATTATTTCATTTTTATGCGTTAAAGAGGTTAAATAGAGCTATCATTGTGAAATGTCACTATAATAGTCAATTCATAATTTCAACCGACCTCTTGGTACTTTCAACACAATCATAACATCTTCACGGTCTTTCACCAGTACGTACTGTATATTTCGTACATAATATGTTGTACAGTACCATAGCTTGTTAACAGCAATCGCATACAAGTTATTTTTGCAGCATAATTTTTGACAAATCTTCGCTAAATGATATAGACCTATAAGTTATCATTATGAAAGACCAATTCTTGCATCAGAAAAGAAGACTCAATATTAAATCGCATTTTGCCACTGATTAATTAAAACTGATACTAGTACATGTTTCAGTATGTAATACTACAATGTGCCGGTGATCGATGCACAACATATAACAGACGAAATTACATAAAATTCAACTCCTCAGTTATGTAAACGAGTTGGTTCGTTGTGCAGAAAACCACATGGTAAACGTGATGGTGACCTTAGCACTTGCTGCACAATGCCGTTAAAGACCCACCTTTCGGGAAAAACTGGAAAGACTTCTCGAACTGCACAGATCTGAGGCGGTCTTCAAACATTTGTGTGAAATTCTTGAGGTCGACAACATCTTGCTTTTGGTGTATTGAAACGAAGAGATCTCCGCCGGTGCCCTTGCCCCGCACGTGTGATGTCAGAATAGTCTAGAATTACGCATGCTCCGATCGTCACTTCCTATCAATTTTCAATAAAGGTTCTCGCTGCTTCACTCGTACTTCGCAGTTGCTTACATAACATGATTTACCTCCCCTTAACCACACTTTTTGTAGGGTTACGGGTTATAGGATTGCGGGTGGAAGACACAGCCGATGGACACTTTATACCGTGAATTTCATCTTAGATATCTCGATTTCATTGTTAAGAAAAATACATATTTGTACATTGATTGTTTCGAAATTAATCGGAAGGGTTATCCATCCGCGATGTTATTTTCACTACTAGGAAAATAATAAAATCACGGATAGATAGACAGAACTCTTTGTGTCCTTTTTTCTTCTTTTTCATCAAATGATTCTCTAAATGTTAGATTCTGTAATGTGAAAGTGTGTACATGAAGTTTATGCATGATAGATGGAACCTGCACAATAAGCTGTGTTTAAATTGGAACAAGGACGCAAGCCCTGTTTGTAAAACCAGTAAATAAGTGACGTGTTTATGAAACACTATGCCCCCGGTTGCAACTAAATTCTTCAGTGGGACATTATAACTATGTTATGTAAAGCCTGTTCTTATGTCTTCATTGTGGTAGCCAATATTTTTACTTTCAAAAGTAGGTTTACGGTCAAGGTCACTTGGTAAAAAAAAAATTGTACCACCGGAAAGGTCTTGTCACAAGGAACACATATGCTATATATGAAAGCCTAATCTTTTACGGAGCATTAGTTATGGGCCATGTTAAAGTTGACAACAGACAAACAGAGAGCACAAGAACAATGTTTAAGCATAACACCATTTCAAAATATACGTATCATAAATATTGTGACCCTATTTAAGTCCACTGAAGTTTAGATCTAGTTCGCTTGCTCGTCAAATGGACCCGTTTTTATTTTCATACGCGGGTTTACAGGTTAACAGGGGAGCCACAGGGGAACGAAACAGTCATGTGATGTAATTAAATTAATTAGTTGACTCTACTGTATCTAATTTTAAACCTGTATTGGTTTCTATTCACTCGTTTTCTGTTGTACTATCTATAATATCATAGATAGAACGTGTTTGATGAAATATTAGCTTGATTTCCCCGCTACTTTCAAATAATCAACGTGTTGCCAAATAAATTTATTAATATGGACAGTGCAAAAACAACTAACCAAACCAGTATGATGTAAAACCTTAATATCCAAAGATAATTTTGTCTCAACGTTTTAACCTGCTAAAATATAAAGCCAGCGCGTACATAGTTTGAAACCCTGATGCATATCTGTATATTATTTATTTACGTTTTTATGGAGGCAGTGACATGTTGTAGGAAGTTATCAATTTACTGTAGGTATTATAAATAATTCCGAAGTTGGAAAGTTCAAAACTCAAAATGTCAATAATTGTACGAGGAAATCCACTCGCACTTTATGTATGTCTCCTCTAGCCGAGAACAATGTGTGAAATGGCAGTTACCCTCGTATTCTAAATAAGTTTTCGTTTTACGCTTATACACTATACGATCACACACAATTTCAACGTCAGCAATGGAAGGTTATAATTATAAACAAACTGTCTTTATTCGGTCTACATCATTTTTTACTTTCGACAATTATATTATTGGTTTACATACAATAAAATTAAGTTCTGTCTCATCATATCCATAATCCATCCAAACGAAACACTTATCCACTAATAATAGATACAGTGGTATATTGTCTACCTAACCATTAGGAGTTTATTTTTACAAATCGGCCACTAATCACATCGAAAAAGTCAACTTAATTTCAAAACATGCTTCACCAGTTTAGGTAGGTAAGACTATAGTATATGATAACTGTGTGGATTTTTTTTATCAAAACCAAATTAATGAAGTGAAAAATTGTACGTATACGAAAAAGTCCAGCATTCACTAAATTGATAAATACAACCAGTTTAGTACAAGACAACGGAATAAAATTTCTACTTTAACAAAACTTGAGTTTATCCACAGTGAAAACATATACTGAACAGTTACTTCGATTTTATTTTACCGCCTACTTAGCATATTTTGTTTACCGTCAGAAGTGTTTATACCGTGTGTTTAAAGGCAGAGTTTATGTGTAGACATGCGGTTTTGTAACATGCCTACAGACACAGAAATCTGTTTTGTATCACAGGATTGAATTTTCAAGCAAACATGGACATTTCTACTTAAGACATGTCAGTTCTTGTCTATGCTCTCCATTGTTACATTACAATTCAATCTGTAAATGTGGGATGTTATCTCATTATGCAAAAATAAGCTATACTACACCTGTTTATGTGTAATACGCAGAAATATGATACATACATGTGTATGTTCGTTGAATATCAAGGCAATCATGTGGTAATTCTTATACCGCGTATGAAGTACATATATGTTAGTGTCTGTTTACCGTTTATCTTCATGCCGTCTACATGCATTGGTGTGTCTGTTTACTGTTTATCTTTATACCGCCTATATATATATTGGTGTGTCTGTTTAACGTTTATCTTTATACCGCCTATATATATATATTGGTGTGTCTGTTTACCGTTTATCTTTATACCGCCTATATATATTGGTGTGTCTGTTTACCGTTTATCTTTATACCGCCTATATATACTGGTGTGTCTGTTTACCGTTTATCTTTATACCAACTATATATATTGGTGTGTCTGTTTACCGTTTATCTTTGTACCGCCTATATATTTTGGTGTGACTGTTTACCATTTATCTTTATACCGCCTATATATATTGGTGTGTCTGTTTACCGTTTATCTTTGTACCGCCTATATATTTTGGTGTGTCTGTTTACCGTTTATCTTTATACCGCCTATATATATTGGTGTGTCTGTTTACCGTTTATCTTTATACCAACTATATATATTGGTGTGTCTGTTTACCGTTTATCTTTGTACCGCCTATATATTTTGGTGTGTCTGTTTACCATTTATCTTTATACCGCCTATATATATTGGTGTGTCTGTTTACCGTTTATCTTTATACCGCCTATATATATTGGTGTGTCTGTTTACCGTTTATCTTTATACCGCCTATATATATTGGTGTGTCTGTTTACCGTTTATCTTTGTACCGCCTATATATATTGGTGTGTCTGTTTACCGTTTATCTTTATACTGCCTAGGTGTATTTGTGTAAAAGTTGAGAGAACTGGCCCCACTTGTATAAAATATCTCAATTTCAGATTTCCTCAAGCCCAGATTTTCCTCAGCTAATATCTCCTTGGAAATATCTTGTATGAAAATTCCGCAAGGAATTTCAGGAAATCCTAGCCGATGCCTTCCTCCTGTTCCTTGAGAAAATTTTATACAAGCCGTTTTTGAGGAGATATCAGCTTAGGAAAATCTCGACTTGAGGAAATCTCAAGTTGAGATGTTTTATACAAGTGGGGCCAGGTCAACCTTAGTTACTAGCTTCGGCTGGGGGGAATTTTCGTTTAGTCGAGCGGTAGAGTGTTCGGGTAGAGAACGAAGGATCGCTAGTGCGAATCCCAGCAGTTGCAGGGTATTTTCTATTATTCATATATACTGTATAACGATAAATCCTATACAGACACACTGATACATTCTGAAGGTCGTTATGTGTCTGGTTTTGTAGACGGTGTCTCTCTATGGAATTCATCTTTACATTGTGTTTGTGTACGTGTTGTATCTGTAAACATGTAAACAGGCGTTACATGTAGAGAGCATGCTACGATGTTACGTGTATTTGTACTCCACATCCACCTCGATAATGATGAGTAAGTGTTACTTATGAGGATACCAACTAGACTATCTGGTACCCTGTAACCCACCCAGGGCCCCTTGGTTATTGAGGAGTCGTTTAAATGTTTAAACACAACTGAATCTGTGACCTTGAAAGTGAACCAAATATCTTTGTATGAACCTATTTGGTAGTCCTTCATCCACGCAATTTACTGGCCTAATGATAGGACTTTGAAGTTGTTGAATGGTGACTGGCATCGCGTCATGGTATACAAGTGAGCTGAAATATTCCATATATACATGTATCTGTTTGCCACTGTACGTACCAATGAAAGTGCAGCAACATGAAACAAACATGTTGTTTATAGTGGCATGTTGTACCTAATGGCTGAAGGCGTTTCCACGAAACATTTGTGCCTAGTCCCGTTTGTTCTATTGAGCGAATGAATAATGTTTTATATCCAACCACTGAGTATTATTTTAGTTTCGGATAAATATCTGATTGTCCAACACTCGACGATAAGGCCTAGCTGGCTTATTACCGATCTCTTTGTAGATTAGACAGGTCGTTTGATGATGATATATTATACACGGAAATGTCAATAGTTGTATATCATCAACGTCAGTAAATTATCTCAAAGTATGTTGTACACATATCTGCAAACTAATTCAGAGGGACTCATACAGTCCTTGATGCATGAGGATCTAGTTCGAGACATATATAGTAACAGAAATATTTATTTACCCCTACTAAATCTTGTTTTTCCTCTTTTCTTTTGATTACTTTTGTCTATGATTACTTATTCGAAAACAGGTTAAGGTTGCCCTGAAAGAATTTTACTATTACAAAAGTCGTAAGGAAGTCATGGAACGCCCATTAATTGATTAGTTTCCGAAAATAATAAAAACAAATATGCCTAAAATGTTTCGTTTGTTTTCATTCAAATGTTGAAGTTCTATCATATTCACGTTATGTGAATTGTGCAATTAATTGGTGCGTTATTGCTCTTGTCAGAGACCTATATCTAGATACATACTCTATCCGTTGGATTTACTGTTTCAAATTAACACACCAGAGTGCATTATTGTGCAACTTTCCCGCCAAACACTTGATGCTGCAGCAGTAAGGAAGATAACTCTTACAACTTTCTCACAAGAAAATCGATTTGTTTAGGAAGTGGATCGGGAGTTGATAGACTAAACTCGGAGCTGGCGTTTTGTTGGAGGCTGGTGTTACCTGTAGCCAGAATACTACTT